AGGGGACTGGGGTAGGAAAAAAGGTGCTGGGCCGTTTTTACCTTAACGCAGAGAATGCATGGCTGTAAAAAAACGCCCACTTTACTTTAAGAAAACTGTATCCGGTGACGCAGGATGCCCGACTGGGGAAAAAAAAACTTGGGGTGTACATCCACTTGAAGTGGGCACGGTAGCAGAAGGGGAGGGTCTTCTTTGACTTTGTAGGCTGAATCATGACTGAGCTCTGAAGACAGCCGCCCCCAATGACACAGGCACGCTATGAAAAAAAAAAAAAAGCCGACGCGACTCTTCCAATAAATGTACCAATATACGTTCCGTCAGCTAGCACAGATTTTTATAAGAAAGAAAAAAAATAAGTTTTATTTTACAAATGCTGCTGGAAATCCCGAGTCTTCATCAAACCAGCGAGGGGGGATACGCCGGGACCCCCGGCGCACCGCCCCTCTATACTGTGGCAGCTTCCACTTTATGGGACCCGTCCATTTGCTCGTGCCTGGCGGGGCGTCTCAAGCAGGATAAGGCTCCAAAGTGTCATTTGCTTCCTGTGTGACCCACACAGCACACAGTGGCGGAAGCAGATGGCTCGTGTGCCCCCCCTTTTGGCCAAAAGAAGAGCAAATGGGGGGTGTGTAACACATACACAGCAAAATATACCGTGCACTCACCAAAAAGTTCACGTTTACACTTCGGCTCAAACCGTTAAATCTTTCGTAGCAACAACATGATATAACCAGACTATAGGAATTCATACGTAGTATATACATTGACCGTTTAGGTGTAACTGCTCTTTCCTGACACCTTGGATTGGCTAGAGGAGGGCAGCAGATCCGTTCCGTTGTAGATGGCATTGCATTACCGTATCTCTCATGCTTGTACAGGCTGTGCAGTGTACTCACCCCAGAGACGCAACTAGAAACCTCGGGGCCCCAGTGGAAGAAACCATGAAGGGCCTTCCCTGGGGAGGCATTGTTGGCCGTTACCAGGGCCGGGCCCTCTCCTTCCTTTCCGGGATCCCCTTAGCTCAGTGCAAGTTGTGCATGCTGTGCTACCTGCTTATACAGTACATATATTGGGCTGTACTCCTCCTCTTAGCTCAGTGCAAGTTGTGCATGCTGTGCTACCAGCTTATACAGTACATACAGTGGGCTGGACTCATCCCCTTAGCTTAGTACAAGTTGTGCATGCTGTGCTACCTGCTTATGCAGTAGAGTCTTTGAGCTGTATGCCTGCTCTTAGCTCAGTGCATGTCGTGCTACCTGCTCATGTAGTACAGTCTTTGAGCTGGACGCCTACCCTTAGCTCAGTGCAAGTCTTGCATGATACGCTGCTTGCTTATGCAGTACAGTCATTGGCGGATACTCCTCCCCTTGGCTCAGTGCAAGTTGTGCATGCTGTGCTACAAGTAGTCTTTGAGCTGTACGCGCCTCCCATTGGCTCAGTGCAAGTTGTGCATGCTCTGCTACCTGCTTTTGCAGTACAGTCATTGAGCAATAGTCCTCCCCTTGGCTCAGTGCAAGTCTACAGTCAAATCTTTATCTATAGACCTCCAAATAAAATCAAGAGACTCTGTTGGCCATACACGTGGCAATTTTCTGTGAATTCCAACCACTTAAATGAATGGGAATCACACATACTGGAAAGTAATCCCTGGAAGCTGAGCAATGTACTGCCCAAGAGTTCAGTCGACCCAGGGGCATCCCGCGGAGACCGTGTGACACCCCGCCGTGATGTCATCGTGCATGCGCGACCATCTAATTGACACCTACTGGTGGCCATCTTAGTGATGGACGCCGGCAGAGAGAGGAGGGGGCGTTCACCCGGCGGGATGATGCATGCCGCCGTGTCCCCTCCTCTCTCCTGACACTGTCGGGCTCTCGGTCCATGACCAAGTGCCCGACTTTTTAGAGGGGGTGACACCAAAATGACTGTCAGTCATTTTGGTGTCACCCCTCCAATGGTGTCACCCGGGTGCGGCCCGCACCCCCCTTGCGACACCATAATCAACCAAATTCTGGTGGTCGACTCAGTGAAGTCAAAACCGGGCAATAAACCGACAGCTTCAATACAGTCCACTAAACAATTAAAATCAGAAACAAAAAATTGGAAGGGGGGGGGGGGGGTAATTTCAAAAATATGATCAGAGCATTCACCCCCAATTTATATCATCTGTTACTTTTATTAGAAAAAAAATAAATATGGAGTTGATAATGTGATCGCTCTATCCTACTTGCCACGTGCAAGATCAGCTTAAGTGACTTCTCTCCCCATTTCTTACAACAGTCCTGCTGCAATGGACACCAACCGTCCTGTCTAACATATGGACGGCCACTAGGGGGAGCAACTACAAATCTGTACAGGAGGGACCAAAGTGAAAGCAGTGGGCTTTGCGTAAACTTTAACAGAACCAAAATGTCTTATAAAAAAAAAAAAAGACCCAATACTATCTCAGGGTCAATGAAGTCACCAAATATAAATGTATAAAAAAAAATGATTGATAAAGTTTTATTAAGGTTTTCAAACAGATAAAATATGCGCTCGCTTTCATCTTCAAAGCGGCATCAAAAGTAGAAATTTACAAAAAGTTTTCCTATTGGAACGGTAAAAATATTGCGTCATCTCCGGAGGCACAAAGGACCCCTGAGTAATACTGTGCGGGCCCCACCTATGGGTGCTAAGCTGGCCACACGGCCTTTACTGAAAACACCCATCCAGGGGGCGGAAAAGAAAAAAAAAAAAGGTGAACAAACCTACAAAATTTTACAGCAAATTTTGAGCCTATGGATGGCAAAATGGAAGGTCCACATTTTACCAGCCCCCCGTCCTTCCAACACAAATGGCTTTGAAAAGCCATTTATTAATGAACCCCCAAAAACAAAGAACCTTGGCCCCAGCTTCCGATGTTTCTGGAAGGCACAACAGATGACATCACTGTGCCTTCCATTTGCAATGGGCTTGAGGGCATTCCCATGGGATTTAAAGCTCCGTGTTCTGCCAGGAGGCATGGTGGGGGTGCCTCCTAGAAGTGTCCGAGACTGGAACCAAAATGTTTTATTGAGGGGTGGGGGGGCTGGTGAACAGTGAACCTTCCATGTGCCACATTAATGATGATTATGTGGCATCATTAATGATGATTATGTGGCATCATTAATGATGATTATGTGGATTATCATTAATGTGGCACATGGAAGGTTCACTGTTCACCAGCCCCCCCACCCCTCAATAAAACATTTTGGTCCCAGTCTCGGACACTTCTAGGAGGCACCCCCACCATGCCTCCTGGCAGAACACGGAGCTTTAAATCCCATGGGAATGTCAACGTTTGACATGATATGTTGCCATCTAAAGGAGTCTGTGGTCTTTGAATATCATTGGTGACCACATGCACCATGTGGTGAGAATGGGCAGACTATTCTTATTGGACACCGGCACCAAATTGTTTTTAGTTCCGCTTTTCTCTGACACAATTAGGACTTGCTGACGTCACAACAACGTTCCTTTAAAACAATTCTGATCCCTTTACGGAAACGGTCAGCAGTTGGCGATGGACAGCTTTGTCCAAACCCCAACACTCCCATGTCTATGGTGGGAACACTGACACAAAGAGCCTGTACATGCATCACGGAAAGCGATAGGTAATTAACACACATTTACAAAGGTCACGGCTTTACTGCCCAGTCTTAAAGGATCACTAGAGTCCTGTCAAAGTCGGAGGCCAAGAAATAAAGTGGCTTGGTGATTATAATGCTTTACCTCTATGTTCAGACCTTGCCGTTCTCTTGGAGGATAGTCCTGTGCTTTGCTTGCTCACAGTATATAATGACTGAAATGACTCCTTACTTCTCAACTGGACACTAGGGGGTGGGCTAGAGCAAGGAGTTGCAAACCTATAAGCAGCCAGAGCACCAGGATCCGCATGGGCTGGCCTATTCTAATAAGGCCTGGTCTTACTCCTGGTCTCCAATATACAGAGATTATCAGTCTTTTCAATAACAGGAAGCTAGTCCTGTGCCGGGTCACAGTAAATAATGAGCAACACCACTCCTCACATTCCAACTGGACACTACGGGGTGGGGGGGAAGAGCAATGAATTACAAAGCTTTAGAATCCGTGTGGGCTGGCCTATTCTAATAAGGCCTGGCCTTACTCCTTGTCTCCAATATACAGAGATTATCAGTCTTTTCAATAACAGGAAGCTAGTCCTGTGCCAGGTCACAGTAAATAATGAACAACACCACTCCTCACATTCCAACTGGACACTACGGGTTTGGGGGGGAAGAGCAATGAATTACAAAGCTATAGAATCCGTGTGGGCTGGCCTAGTCTAATAAGGCCTGGCCTTACTCCTGGTCTCCAATATACAGAGATTATCAGTCTTTTCAATAACAGGAAGCTAGTCCTGTGCCAGGTCACAGTAAATGAAAACCACCACTACTCACATTCCAACTGGACACTAGGGGGTGGGGGGAAGAGCAATGAATTACAAAGCTATTGAATCCAAACAAAGCACCAGGATCTGCGTGGGCCGGGCCAATCCTACAAGGGCATGGTCTAACATAATGGTAGAGCAGTAAAATGACTAAGTTTCCTTAAAAACTAGTTCAAGTCCTCCAACTTCACCTACACGTACCCTTTAACATATAAAACATCAAAAGTGCAGCTGGACCCTCACCCTCCCCCCAAGTCTGGCCCACACATTAAAAGGTGTCAAAACACCCTCACCCAAAAAAAAATACAGAATGCATTATACGGTCGCAAATTATTATTTACAAGAAGCTATATGAAATGTAATTCTTGTGAAAACAACGGAGTAGCTTCTATCTCAGTCAATCCTGTCCTTGATTTTTGCAGTACTAGTAAGACGGGCGGTATTACGGGTTGGTGGTATGTGTGCGGAGGAGGGGTGGGTCTGTAGGTGTGTAGGGGTCTGTAGGTGTGTAGGGGTCTGTAGGTGTGTAGGGGTCTGTAGGTGTGTAGGGGTCTGTAGGTGTGTAGGGGTCTGTAGGTGTGTAGGGGTCTGTAGGTGTGTCACAGCGGTTACATGATGCAGCACTTGTTCTTGTGATTGTGAGGGTCCTTGAACCGTAGCCTCTGCTTTGGCCGGTATTTCTCCAGGTACGTCAGCTGCTTGCTGTTGATGGCGCCCCGCCGTTTCCTGTAAGAAAGAACAAACATGGGTAAGCTTGCGCTCAGTGGTTAGTCCAAGGATGAAGACTCTAATGTGATGAATAATTCTGCTTTGGATGAAATGAGGAAGGATTAGAACCTCGGTACTCAACTGGTTGGTCGTGCCCCAAAAGTGGGTTGCAACCCAATGTTCAGTGGGTCTCCGCATGCCTTCCACTTTGCTAGGCGAGAGGTTCCTCAGCCTCTCCCAAGCGTAGCACTGTCAGCTCTCGTGCCAAGCAGCCATTCAAAATATGCTGCCCGGAGCCTAGTGTCAGATTGAGACGGGATGAGGCTATGGCCGCGAGGGAGCTCCATACATACGTGCATTGCTTACAGCTCCCTGCGGTGTCCTACAGAGGTGCCCAGACCGGAGTGACATCACGTTCTGGCTCTCGGCACCTCTACAGGGTGTGCAAGGGAGCTATATAAACAATGCACATATGGATGGAGCTCCGTCACAGCACAGCAGCCCACACTGGACCCCAGGCTGAGGATCCACTCCAGTTCTCGTAAGGTAGGGAGACTGGGTGGACCTTCAAAATTAAATATTTTTTGGAGTGTGAGAGATTGTGTATGTATGTCGGTGTTTGAGGGCCCGTTCACACTAGTACAGTACCGTGCGATTAACGGTGTGTGAGGTGTGTTGGGTTGCCATTCATTTGAATGGTACCCCAAACGCACTTCCCACCCACAGCTCGTACACCTGCACTGGAACGCACGGTACCCTAATTTCGTGCATTCCATTGCAGTGCAACTTGGGTCACTATTTAATGACCAAGGACAAAAAGTGGGTCCTGAACTTACACAGGTTGAGAACCACTGATGTAGAGGTGCCTGAATCAGGGTGACGTCACATTCTGCCTACCAGCACTTCTACAGGGCACGCAAGGGAGCTGTACAAGCAATGCATGTATCGATGGAGCTCCGTCACAGCACAACAGCCCACTCTGGACCCCAGGCTGAGGAGCCACTCCAGAGGGAGACTGGGTGGTTCTTAAAAAATTCTGGAGCATTTATGAGAATGTCTGTGAGTGTGTGTCTGTTTTTGAGGGCCCGTTCACACTAGTACAGTGCGTTAAACTGTACTAAGCAATCGCACCCAACATGCATTTATTTGACTAGTATCACAAACGCACCTCCCACCCACAGTTTGAACGCTTGCACCGGAATGCTCTGTACGCCAATGCCGTGCGTTCTATTGCAGTGCGACTCGGGTCGCGACTTAATGACCGAGGACAAATGTGGGTCCTGAGGTTACACAGGTTGAGAACCACTGCTCTGCACCAGAGGTCCTCAACCACTTGTTTCTAATTTGGGGGCATGGAGAGGTTTGGAAGGACCTCATTGGGCCCTGGTCTCCAAGTTGGGAAGTTCTGCTGTAAACGTAGCCGACGTCGGAGTATGGACGTCAAAGAGTGGAAGCAACACATAGAAAAGGACAAAGCATGATAATAAAGACCGGGCCCATAGAGGGCAATATACATGGACAGCGACGGATACTTACTGCCGGATGAACTGAATGGCGTCTTCGTACTTCATTCCGCTCTCGATAAGGGCGAGCGCGACTAGGACGGGGGCTCTGCAAATGAAAAAAAAGATCTACTCAGTTATAGAAGGGAGTGGAGAGTGAAAATATTTTCTGAAAGTGTTTGTACAGCCAAAATGAATGGTTTAGTGTTGAATAAAGCATGGACGAGTTAAATCCTCCATCAGGTGAAACGTTTGTGTTGTGCCTGTGCCCAGCTGGACCAGGAATCCCAGCATTCCCTGCAAGCACAGCGTCATGGAGGGATCCTATATTCATATTTTTACCCGAAAAGGAACATTTTATACAGATAATGAAAACTGGACATTAAAAGTTTTTTTTTTTGTCACTTGCAAACACGGAAAATGAAGATTAGTTGACCGAATAGAATTATATTTTGTCTTAAGGACTGTATTCCAGGAAAATATTTAACAAAAAAAAGCAAATTTGACCTTATTTTTTTATATAGAAGTAGAACAAGTCTTGATCTAAGCCCGCTGCAATCTCCTGCACAGCAGCACCCAGGCCGGGAAAGAGACAGCCGGCACCAAGAGCCGATCGGCTGCTCTGTCTTTAGATTGCCAATATAAGGCTTGTTCTGTAGTTCACTCGCTTGCAAAACAAGCCAACCAGCAATGCCGATGACTGCACTGACGGACACCTACCAGTAGGGGGGGCACTCACCAAAGACACTTCCCAGGGCTCAGTGATACCAGTAAAGTTGTAACGTAAATTTTCCATAGAGTATTATTGACCTGCAAATGAACCATATGCAAGTAAGGAGGCATTGATCCTGAAAAGTTAAACCTTAATTCCTCCCCGTAGGAGAAGGCAAATCCCAAAATGGAGCAGTGCAGCAATGAGATCGAGAATATTTTAATTTTTATTTAGCAATAGTTTCTTTGCTATCCGCCATCATTTCAGGGGGGTGCTCAGATCGATTAAGTGGCCGACGGCTGCTTTTCGTTCTCTGAGTTACAATCCCATCCGTCGGCTGCGCTGTCCGGCTCCCGTCCTGAAGTGATGGCAAGTAATCGCGGGGGGTGGTTTTGGTATCGGTGCAAGTCCCCCCTGGGGGGGGAGGGGGGGTGATAGTAAGGTGCTGGGGTCGCTGGCCCTCAAAGGGAGGACATTTAGAACTATATCCTCAGCTGGGAGTATTGTGATGGAGAACATTGATAGAGATTGTGGGCTGGAAGGGCTTAAAGGAGAACTATGGGGTTAAGGCTTTTCCCCATAGTTCTCCTTAGGGTAATGGGAGGACACAAACTAGCGTCCTCCCGTCACCCTAGGCACAGTATACTGCTCGCGGCATACTGAGACACTAAACCCCGGATTTAAATCTTAAAAATACATTCAAGTCCCTGAACTCTGAACAACAATGTATCATATTTGTGTATCACTCGGCTGTAGATCCTCCAATCATCTCTGACACTGTCCTTCCTTCTGGAGGGGGGCTACGTCTGTTCCCCATGGTCCCTGTGTGTGTTGTAGTCGCCGCTCCCTGCTCACTCCCGGGATGGACTACAATCGCTATACAAATTATTATACTAAACATGAGACTGTAGTCCATCCCGGGAGTGAGCTCGGAGCGGTGACTACTTTACAACATGACAGCACCAATTCAGAGATGAGTGGAGGATCTACAGCCGAGTGATACACAAATAAGAGACATTGTTGTTCAGAGTTCAGGGACCGGAATGTATTTTTAGGATTTACCTTCGGAGTTCAGTGTCACTTTAAGTAACCTAAATGACTCGGAGCCTTGAAACACGTACAGGACGAGCGCAGACCACAGAACGTCACCTACCTGCCCAGTCCGGCCACGCAGTGAACGGCTACACAGCACCCGGGATCTTCACAGAATTTCGCTTTCAGCAGATTCAACCAATCATCCACAACTTTGCTGGGGGGAGACGCTCCATCATCGAACGGCCAATCCTGAAACCAGAACAAATCGCATAAGAGATCTTTCCTTTTCTTTGAACAGTTCCCAATTACGATCCCACTTCTCACCGACATTCCCCACCTCCCGACTAAAGCCAAACATTAGAACTCCCTCCAGGGAGATATACAAGTACAAATCAATGCAGATCCGTGATTATTAATCCATCATTATATAGAATTTGTAAAATGCAACTCCGGCCTCCCCTCCAGTCGTCTATCTGACCTCCGGCCTCCCCTCCAGTCGTCTATCCGACCTCCGGCCTCCCCTCCAGTCGTCTATCCGACCTCCGGCCCCCCCTCCAGTCT